TTGTACATACGTGTTGTCCACTACTCAATAGAAGTCTTAAGGTGTCTATTAATACTTTATAGTGTTTTAAAACATATACTTAAAAAATTCATAGTAAGTGTAGAAAGTTCAAACAGTACAAAAGGTTCTATGGACAAAACCACTGTCACAATCTTTCGAGCGTCCTTCCATAGGTAGTATGGGTGCATAAGTATTTGTATTGATCTTGCTAATGAAGAAATGGAGGCTCAGAGGGGACCAGAGGCTGGCTGAAACCCCCAGAGAGCAAAATGCTAATGACTTACCTATGTCACAGAGAGATTTCCCCTTGTGATCTTCGTAATTGTCCCATCTCAACCATCATTTTTCCAGGTTTTAAAATTTATCCTGTCTTATCTCCATCTAGACTCAGGTCTCCATGCTCATGAGCATGGCAAACCAGTTGAGTGCCCTGGAGTTCCTTCTCCTGGGGCTCTCCAGGCAGCCCCAGCAGCAGTAGCTCCCCTTTGTGCTCTTCCTGAGCATGTACCTGGCCACAGTCCTGGGAAACCTGCTCATCACCCTGGCCATCAGCACAGACTCCCACCTGCACACCCCCATGTACTTCTTCCTCAGCAACCTTTCCTTGGTAGACATCTGGTTCTTCTCCACTATCGTCCCCAAGATGCTGGCCAACCACATACTTGTGAGTCAGACCATCTCCTTCTTTAAGTGTCTCACACAGCTGTATTTTCTCATTGTGTTTGGCAACATGGACAATTTCCTCTTGGCTGTGATGACCTATGACCGCTTTGTTGCTGTGTGCCAGCCCTTACACTACACAACAAAGATGACCCCTCAGCTCTGTGCCTTGCTGGTGGCTGGGTCGTAGGTCATTGCCAATCTGAATGCTCTGTTGCATACCCTGCTGATGGCTCGACTCTCGTTCTGTGCAGACAACACGATCCCCCACTTCTTCTGTGATGTGACTCCTCTCCTGAGACTCTCCTGCTCTGACACACACCTCAGTGAGATGATGATTCTTACTGTGGGGGCTCTGATAATGATCACCCCATTTGTTTGCATCCTGGTTTCCTACAATTGTATTGCTTGTGCTGTCCTGAGAGTCCCTTTCACAAAGGGAAGATGGAGAGCCTTTTCCACCTGTGGCTCCCACCTGGCTGTGGTTTCCCTCTTCTATGGCACCATCATTGTTTGTATTTCAACCCTTCATCCTCCTACTCAGCTGAGAAAAACATCAAAGCAGCTGTGATGTATACAGTGGTGACCCCCATGCTGAACTCTTTCATTTACAGCCTCAGGAACAAGGACTTAAAAGGGGCCCTAAGAAAAGTGATTGGCAGAAAGAGATTTTCTACCTGTTGAAAGTTTCAGCGCTGAATCTCATTCCCAAGCAAAGTTCTTTTTCGCCAGTTGAGTATAAGGTAGCAGTTGTTTTGTCAAAGCTGGTCTGGAAACAAACATATTGCTGGGGGCACAGAGAAGGATACTGTTGCTTGTTACTTATTGGTAGACTGGGATTCACCTGTGACCCTGTCATATATGCAAGGTAGTGAGACTTCTTTTTGATAAGAAACTTTTGAATTATTTTACACCCAAAGTTGTCCTTTTTAGGTGGTGTGTTTGCAAAGCCACATGCTACAAGAATGTTTGAACGTTAGAATCACCTGGGAAGTTTTTAAAATACTCTGTTGTCCAATCCCCAGCACTGACCAGGTAAATCAGAATCTCTGGTTGGGCACGACACTGATAGAGTATGGAAATTCTCGAGTGATTCTAATGTGAAGTCAGAGTCGAGAATCACTGGTCTACCTCATACTCCTTTATATGTCCTCAGTGACAGTCAATCATAAAGGTTAGCTCTCAAAAATCCTCACAAATTAATTTTAACAATTTGATGAAAGAACTGCAGGGTGAAATCTTAGGACTGAAGCGAGTAATGACATTTCAGATGAGAAGCAGAGGCCCTGGTGGGCATTGTGGCCCAGAGCACCAAGAGGTGAAGAAGCACAGAATCGTGGAAACCATTCATGACCATCCGACTTGACCACCAGACTTTGGGGTGTAAGTCCAGCAGTGGTCATATCTTTGATAACAGGGAAATAAATCAATATTCCCTCTGCCCAGACCAACTCCTCTTGCTTTCTTCTCAGGCTCACAACCCCCTCCCCACTCCACATCTTGAAGAAGCCAGTCAAGGGTCACATCCTCCTCCATGAAGCCTTCTTGGCTCCCTTTTCTTGGACTCATGGTTCTGTTTTTCTTTGGGTTGATTGCACATTGTACTATAATTATTTGCCTTTCACCTCTTCCTCCAGCGCAAGGCTTTCCACAGATTATGACACTCTCCAGATCCAAATACATATACTATTCACCTTGTATCTCTAGTGGCCGGCACTGCTTCTGGACCAAAGGCAATAATAACCTTAGGGTGAAAGAAGAAAAGAATGGATGAATAATGTCTTCACTTTTATTTGAGAATGAGTTTTTAAAGTATAACATTTTTGCTCTTTAGAGGTAATACCTACACACTTTGTAAAACCAATAAATCATAAAGAATAAGATTAAAATATCCTGTAACCTTGCCAGTTAAGATAACCATAGTTAGACATTTATGAATAATAGTTTTACAAAAGTTGGCTGCAATCTATTCATATCATTCTGTACTCTGATTTTTCCAGTTCCTTCCCATGTCAGTAAAGATCTTAGAAATTACTTTTTATGGCTGCATAATATTTTGTCACATGGATATAATATAATTTATCCATTTCTAACTATGAACCACTACTAGTGTCTCTACAGTAAATAACACTGCTGCCCATGTCCTTGGGTTTAATTCTTTGTCTACATCCCTGATTATTGTCACTGGTAACCTGAGCATTCTACTTCTCCAGCCTAGAGTAAAAATTAAGGTCATTTTTCCTTTGTTTCTTCAATTACTCTTACCTGATCTCATCTGTCATTTCTAGGAGGGGTCCAGTACTACCTCTTGGTGTCCAAGCTCTCCAGCTTACCCAGTCCAAAGGAGCCAGCCAGTCCTGCTTTCTCTATGGAGAGAGAATATTGAGGCTGGTTAGTAGGATTGCATGATTGCTGGCACACAGTGTGGTTGTTGAACCTTGGTCTTGTTGGATTGCCTGCAGGCCTGTCTGCTGCAGCATTGATGCCAAAGGCCCACATTCCTTTTGTGACTCCACATATGTATTTTTTTACTTAAAAAAAAAAGTTGTTGAAAATATACACAGCAAAACACACCAATTCAGCAATTTCTACACGTAAAACTCAATGACATTAATTACATTCTTCAAGTTGTATAGCCATTCTCATCCTTCTTTTCCGAATTACTTCCCACCATTAATATAAACTCACTGCTTCTCAAGATTCTTATCTAATCTTTCTCAATATTCTTTTTCTGAAATCTTCTTAGGCTAAAATTATCCAGTGTTGGTGTTCATTATTTGCAACTAAGAACCCTTACAGAAATATGCTGAAATGTAGCCAATCACCAGAAAAGGACTAAAACCCGGAACTAGAAAACCGGGAGGGTTTTCTCTGAGTAATAGCATCTCCTGTCTGTGTGTTTGCTTCTTCAGCTCTTCTCTGCTCCTCAGTCCATGGGCAGTCAGTGGGGGAGGCAGAAGAGGGTTGAATGTACACATTCCACCCAAGCCACAGAGTGATATGGTCTGCCTGACCCTCAATCCCAGTTCCAAATACCCTGTTCCAATCAGCTATGAAAAAGGGGGAAGGGATGTAGGATAAACACGATTACCGGGCTCCCACCACACTGACTATGTGGATTAAGGGCTTCCACTCTGAGAAAAGGCTAAACCATATGGGTTGGACAGATATCCCAAAAGGGATCTAAATCACAGCATGCTGGCCTCTCCTTGAGACAAACCCCCTTCAGACTATCCTTTATCCCAAATGGTTTTATGGGCCAAGTCCAGCTTTGTAATGTATTCCCAACATTCCCATCAGCAAAATAGAGAATACAGGTACCACTAGACATCTTTAAAGGTGACCACACATGAGAAAGCAAGGGTTACACAGAAAACACAGGAATAGCCCACGTTCTGAATATAGGAAGTGAGAAGGAAGAGTGTTTAATAACTGAATTTCCACATCTATGGGCACAGAACCAGAAGAGTAAGGTGATGAGGCTTGAGGACCTAAGAATTTTGTCTGGGATTTGTCTCCACCAAGGTAGTTTCATGTTTAATATCTTCAGGCTTTGACCCAAAAGATACGCTTAAGCCGTAGATAATCTTTGTCATCATTGTTTGGTCCAAAGGAGCCAAAAGGTAGGTGAGACAATTACTCTCCTCTTGTCTCTAACGAGGCTCTCAGGGAATGTGGTCCCAGTGGTCATGGAGACACCTGTAAACGCCTGCTTTGTGATTCCCACAGACATCCTTCCTGCAGAAAGGACTAAGACTATGAACTCCTGCTCCTCACTTGCTCAGGACCTGCCTATATTTCCAAGACTTTCCAATTCTCACAATAAGAGAAGCATTGGCCAGTTATGCAGAAGTGAAGAATGCATGATAGCTACAGAACCAACCTTCACCAGGTAAGATTACAGCAGGGGAAACATTAATTTTTGTTTATTGAAACATGAGTTCTTCTAGATCCAGATAGCAATAGTAGGAGTATTGCACCCATCAGCTACACCCTGTGGTAAACCCAGTAACAGCTGTTTCTCTTGTCTCTGTAGGCACGACTAAGGACTTGGGGGGTGGAAATTGGGAAATGTAAGCAGAGACAGATAGTCAAAGTTGGACTGTGTATAAGCCTTTGTGTTTTTCAATGTTAAATATGCAAAATAAGTGCGAGTCATTCCAGTAGGAATCGCATTAGGATTGAGTGTTGGAAATTAGGTGTATAGTTGCGATGGGTTGATTCTATCTTAGCAACACCATTAACTCATTTGCCAGTGTGGCTCAGCCTGGAGCTTGATATGTCATATTTTAACCACCCGTGTCTAGGTTTCTGAATTTGTTGTGTGTAAATTTGGTTCTATGCCCATGACAGTGGAAAACCAGTCGAGTGTCTCTGAGTTCTTCCCCCTGGGGCTCTCTAGGCAGCCCCAGCAGCAGCAGCTCTTCTTGCTCTTCATGAACATGTATCTGGCCACAGTGCTGGGAAACGTGCTCATCATCCTGGCCATCAGCACAGACTCCTGCCTGCACACCACCATGTACTTCTTCCTCACCAACCTGTCCTTCGTGGACTTCTGCCTCTCCTCCACCATCGTCCCCAAGATGCTGGCCAACAACATACATGGGAGTCAGACCATCTCCTTCTTTGGATGTCTCACACAGCTGTATTTTTTCATTGTGTTTGGTGATGTGGACAATTTCCTCTTGGCTGTGATGGCCTATGACTGCTTTGTTGCTGTGTGCCACCCCTTACGCTACACAACAAAGATGACCCCTCAGCTCTGTGCCTTGCTGGTGGCTGGGTCGTGGGTCATTGCCAGTCTGAATGCTCTGTTGCATACCCTGCTGATGGCTCATCTCTCATTCTGTGCAGACAACACGATCCCCCACTTCTTCTGTGATGTGACTCCTCTCCTGAGACTCTCCTGCTCTGACACACAACTCAATGAGATGATGATTCTTACTGAGGGGGCCCTGATAATGATCACTCTGTTTGTTTGCATCCAGGTTTCCTACATTTGCATCACCTCTGCTGTCTTGAGAGTCCCATCCACAAAGGGAAAATGGAAAGCCTTTTCCACCTGTGGCTCCCACCTGACTGTGGTTTCCCTCTTCTATGGCACCATCATAGCTGTGTATTTCAACCCTTCATCTTCCCATTCAGCTAAGAAAGACATTGCAGATGCTGTGATGTACACGGTGGTGACCCCCATGCTGAACCCTTTCATCTACAACCTCAGGAACAAGGACATGAAAGGGGCCCTAAGAAAAGTGATTTATATTAAAACATTTTCTGTTCAATAATGACATGGACTCCAAATATCATAAAGGATACTAGTTTTTTTTTTCTCTCTTCCCTGATACCTAGCAGTTGTCCATTCACGTATTTGTCTTGGGTAATGAAACCCTTGGTACTGACTCTTCAAGTTAAAGAGGGGAAGAGTCATCCTTTAACAAAATGACTGAACTATTTCAACTGCCAATGACCTCCAGCCAAAACCACGAGCAACACAACTCTTGCTTATTGTGTTTATTACTCATTGCAACCAGAAAGGACACAATGGAGAACCGTGGGACTTCTCAGTAGGAAGGTGTTAGAAAGGTTTTATAGGATTTGAGTGTGGGCTGATTTGGGTTAAGATTTAAGGAATCAGGGCTTTGACCTGGATTAGATGTTGTGAGACATCATGGGTAATTCTTATTGGGCATGTTTTAGCTTATCTACAAGGAGGGAAGACTATAGGGAGACGGAAGCAGTAATTGGTAAGGAATCAGCCATCACTCACTGATATAGTCAGCATGGGGATGTTTGGTCATTTCTGTGGCTTTGACAATGTTTATGGTTTTGTGTGTGTTCAGGTATGACCACAGTGGTCTTCTTTTGTCTGGATCCATCATGGTCACAGAGTGACGTTGTCTGATACTGATGTTCTGTGAATCTCTCTAGGTTCAATTAGGGCTCCGGGAAGTCCTAATTCTGCCAGGCATTTGAGCTAATTATTCTAACGTTTTAATCTGAGCTTTATGTATCATACATCATAACAGCAGGAATATAGGTAAGTTAAACAAGAAAGAACTATATTCCTCAATCCCAATGCCCAATCATGCCAACTTCAGCTTTTTCTTGTCTTCTGTCAATATGCTCAGGTATTTGTACATAGATTCTAATTAATATCCTGGTTGTCTACATGTACAACAGAACGAAACACTGCCCAGTCCTGTACCATCCTCACAATCACTCCTATGCTTGAGCCCATAGTTGCAGCCACTGTGTCAATCCATGTCATTGAGAGTCTTCCTCTTTTTTACTGACCCTCTACTTTACCAAGCATGATGTCTTTCTCCAGGGACTGATTCCCCCTGATAACGTGTCCCGGTGTATGTGAGATGAAGTCTCTCCATCCTTGCTTCTAAGGAGCACTGTGGCTATACTTCTTCCAAGACTATTTGTTCGTTCTTTTGGCAGTCCATGTTATACTCAATACTCTTTGCCAACACCATAATTCAAAGATGTCAATTCTACTTCGGTCCTTCTTATTCATTGTCAAGCATTCACATGCACATGAGGCGATTGAAAACATCATGGCCTGGGTCAGGCCCATCTTAGTGTTTAAGGTGACATCTTTACTTCTTAACACTTTAAATGGGTCTTCTGCAGCAGATTTGCCCAATGCAATGTGTCCTTTGATTTCTTGGCTGCTGCTTCCATGGGTGTTGATTGTGGATCCAAGTAAAATGAAATCCTTGACGACTTCAATCTTTTCTCCGTCTATCATGATGTTGCTTATTGGTCCAGTTGTGAGGATTTTTGTTTTCTTTATGTTGAGGTGTAATCCATACTGAAGGCTGTAGTCTTTCATCTT